AGAAATTGCATCGGTATCACGTCTATTCCATCCCTTCACGTAAACAAGTAAGAAAGTCATAGACCGGCTAGTAATTTAACATAAACCCATACAAAATCCTGATAATCCTATCCTTTCGTTGCAAACGAAACTTCTTTTATTCGATAATTATCATGCAAGCCGAACTTTAAAGAATGAGATGTTGATTTAAAATCTCCAAACCTACTCCCTCGCCCTCTTTTTTTTTTACTTTGTTGCTATAGTTTACAAATTCTCTTTGAACTGTGCATTTGACAAATGAAACCACAAGGAAATCAGAGGCAAGTGAAAATCAAATGGTAAAGTACATTCTGATCCTATAATTTTCCAACTACTAAACTTCAGCTGCTTTTGTTTAAAAAAATCTCAATATCAACGTTATTTTGCTGGACGTGTGCTATTAATTTGTACCAACTGATGTAGAGCTCCCCTCCTAAGTGTTTTCCGTGAAACATTGTCACAGTTCGGAGTTTTAATTCGGTAGGAAAATATTTAAAAAAAAATTAAGATGAATTTAAAATAAAGAAAATTAAGCAAGTTATAAGTAGTTTCCTTTAGCAACAAAAGAAGTGTGCGAGGAAAACATTTGGAAAACCGTCAGAATCAAATATATAGGTTTCCAAAAGTTAGATGTCTCTTGCTTGTCCATAGATCATTTTGTTTTTCTTTGTAGGGTCGTTAGTGGCTTTTTGTTTTGTTTTTTTTTTTTTTTTTGGGTACAATGGTTTTTCTTTTTTAGAAGTTTTTTTAGTTAAGAGTTCAGGATAATTAAGAACCATTGGGATTTTCTGTATTTTCTGTAGTTAATTAATTTTAGTGGGTTTCTTAAGGATTCAATTTGCAGGTTAATTTTTATTCTCAAATCATATTAAACTTTTTGAAAAATTTTATAATACTCGAGGAGTAAGCTAGTGACGATGTACAGATAGCTTATTTCATGGCTTCAGCTTAAGAAAAGAGATAGACATATAAAAAGAAGAGAGAAAATTTTTTAAAAAATTGAACCAACTTGAAATTTTTCTTATCACTTTTAGTAGATCTAGATGTAATTTTTTTTTTATATGTCTATCTCTTTTTTAAAATGAATCCATAAAATAACTATAGTATATATCACTAATTACTTGAATGTGAAAATGAGACGAACAAAAGGTTGGGTTACAAATTAATTATGAATGTAATAATGTTTCATAAATAATGGTATGATTGGAATATATACAGCAAAAAGGTATTATCAGAAGATACCAGATTTATTTCAATGTGGTTTTTTTTAGTCAACGGGGCTACAATACGAGAGAGAGATGTCTTTGTTACGAACAACATTATTTGAAGCGTTAGGCACGTACGTTCAAGCGAAGTAATACGATATCTTAATTATAACATTCATAATTATTTAAATTGAGTGGACTTAAAAAAAAGCTAGAAAAATAAAATTCACTAAATGATATATAAATTTTTGAACTTCCCTTTAATAATCTGTACTAAATTGTTATCAATTATAACAACATGGTTAAGTGTATTTTTTATATCCTAGAAAATGATTGAAAGTAAACCACAACAAAAAATGATTATATAAATACAAAAGAAAATTAATATTTTTGCAAAAACTAATAACAAGAAGAGAAGAAGCTAGTGATTAAGCGAAAAAAATAAGGGTGCTCAAGGTGCATGGGTGAGGTGTGCATAAGTCAATGGGTTTCGCCTCAGACTTTAACCTCGCGGCATCGTTTTGCTTTTGCCAAAATCATTTTTTCTTTCTTCCCAGCCAGAAGAATTATTATCCTCACATTTTACCTCCTTTTATATATATATATATATATATATATATATATCTCACCGGAACTAATGGTTTTTTCTTTCATTATTTCAAGCAGCGGCGGAGCTCAGACGAATTTTGAAAAAGGGCGAACTAAATATCACGTAAACTTCTAGGGATGAAAAATTATGAACATTAAAACTACAAAATAAATAATTAACTACTTGTACAAATAAATTATGTAAAAAAATTCTCTATGCATAAGAAAACGTGAGCATTTCATAAGACTTTCTACAGAGCAAAACAATTTTTTACTTTTTCATACTCTTTAAGTTATGCTCCATATGCTTTCATAGAATTAAATCGATTTCTATTGGGACTAGTAAATAGATCCAATAAATAAAAGGACATACAATAAAAATAATTCTCTGTGTAAGAAAAATAAAAATTTGTGATCAATAAATAAAATTCTAAAAATAGCGATGAATTATAATTTTGTATCAATATATACATTTGATTTCAATTATAATAGATCAAGTTCTTTATTTTTTTTATTTTTTTTATTTTTATCAATGTATAACAAGATGGAAAAAAGGAGAGTGATCCTGCGGCAAGAGAGTGAAAAAAAGAAAAAAAAATATGGAACAAGTTCTTTATTCTTTATTTATGAGTTTTAAGGAAGTTGGAATTTGCAAAGATTTGTGCCTATATTTATGCCCAATTTCCTTCACTGTTAAGTAGGATTTACTTGGATGTGATAGCTACTATCATATCTAGATACCATATATTGACATAATCTTGGTTTGATGTTTTTTTTTTTTTTTTGGAATGTGTAAATGATTTATGAAGGGAAGGGAATAAAATTTGATTGAAAAGTGAAGGAAGCATGCTGTACGTCAAAAAGAAAAAAAAACCTAAAATTAGTGTACCGAATTATTTTCACCCAGATACATTTTGCTGTGGATTGACCGTTCAAAACCCATTTTGTCCTTCAGCTGCGGTTCTTTTCTTCCTCGTTTTCTATTGCTCCTTCACTATTGAAGACCCATTTTCCTTTTTCTTTCTTTCTTCTTGCCCCTGTTTTATATCGTAAATTTCGTGCTTGCCATTTAGTGTCTTTGTGCAATTGTTTTTTTGCCCTTCTTTTCTTCTTTTCACTACACCTTTCTTTGTTTTTTTTTTTGACATTTTCTTTTAATTTTTGACAGAGTATTTGATGCTCTCGCAAACTCCAGCTTATTTTCCCCTGCAGGTCTTCTTTACTTCGTTCTTCTTGCCTCTCATTTCTGTTCTAAATTTCGTGCTTGCCATTCAATGCCTTTGAGCAATTGCTTTTTTGCCCCTTTTTCCTCCTCTTCCCGGCATCTCTTTTTTTGCTCTTTTTCGACATTTTCTTTTGAGGTTTGAGCAGCTTGAATTTTCAACTCTGTATATTGCCATCATTTTTTTTCTTTCACTTGCAGAGCGGATTGCTTTTTGCAGATGAGACATTTTGAATTTATAATTTTTAGATTATGGAGTAAAATTTAGAACATGATTATTTTTTTTAAAAAATAAATTGATATATGTGTATGTGTGTGTGTGAAATATATTTTTTTGATTAAAAATATGTTTAAGATAATTTGTCTCAATTTATTAGAAAAAATAATTTTTAAAATAGTTAATTAATAATTGAAAGTTAAATGCAGAAAAAAAAAAAAGGTAATTGACATGTGCGAAGGACTGGTCATGCACGGTTTAGAAATAAAAAATTATTTAAGAAAAAAAATTCACGTGTCTTATTTGGTTCTTTTTTATATAATCAAAGTTTATCAAAATTAATTTTTAATAATTTTTATTTTTAATCTATAAATTTAAAATTTATTTAATATATTCCTTACAAGTGAAATTTTTTTATTTCTTTTGTTTTACATTGCATACTCTAAACCGTGCGCACGTGCACACGCATACACACATATATGTTGAGTGGATTTAGAGTCCGCGATGTAAAACAAAAGAAATTTAAAAAATCACTTATAAGGAATATATTGAATCATTGGTTTTTATAAAAATAATCTATGCGGTTATCGAACATTAAGCATTTACTATTTATTTATAGATATTTTAGATCAATTTCTTTCAAATTAAATATATGAAATTATGTTTTTGCATAGCTAACAATGATTCAAATATAGTTTTTTATTTTAATATTACATTTTTTGTGTGAATAGATATATAAAAATCAAATGCACATATTTTTAAAAAATAATATTCTCGTCAACATTAAATAAAAGTCAATAATAATTTATTTATTTATTTATTTTTGTACTAGTTTTTATATTAATTGTTATTTTTTTTCAACACAATCTTATGAAATATTAATGTCTTTTTTTTTGTATATATTTTGTATTGAATTCTCTTTTTGTTTGAAATCCGTGGATAAAGAATAATTATATTTTTAAGTAGAAAAATTATGAAAAATATAAAGAAAAAATAGTTAAATATAAAATTTTGATTAAAATATTATAAAATTAATTTTTTTTTATCTTTGATATATATATATTATGGACCAGCAATGCAGTATGAACCATTAAACTTAAATGATTTTTTTAAATAATTCACGTGTTTTATCCAACTCGGACGTGGCATAGAGAAAAGAAATAGTGTGTAATAAAATGGTATGCGTGAAAGTAAATTGACTTCGAGTAACGATGAGTTTAGTTAAATTTATTTTACTTTATGTAATTGAACTATGTGAATAAAAGCAATTGCTTCCCCTTTTCAAAATATTTTTTTAAAGTATATCGAAGTTTATTAGCATGTGTAAAAAAATCAGTTCAAAATATCAAAAATTAAAATTTTAAAATAGTTTTTGGTCAATGATAACAAAAAATTATCAAGATATTGTAAAAAAAAAAACACTAAATTATAAACAGAGAATTAAAATGAGAGTCAAAATTGTAGGTTTTTGAAAACCGAAAAAAAAAAGAAACTATACTACAATTGTCTTAAAAATTTAGCTATGAAAGAATAATTTATTCCTTGACATATATTCTTTGAAGTCAAGGGAAGTTGCATGACCAATAGGACACAGATCCATCACGATTACTCATGACTTCTGCGATCACTTCAAATGATAGTTACTTCACTTTTTAATAATGGAAAAAAGAAAGAAATTGCTTTTGTTCGCGTAGTTCAGCTACATGAAGTAAAATAAACTCATTGTTACTCAAGTCAATAACGGTGGCTCATGGTGGCAGAGTGGGGACCTCGCCACCTCTGCCGAGCTGTACATCTTGCATACCATTTCAGCACATGTACCACATGTCCTGCCTTCCTTTCCTTTTTCACTCAAATTTTATTCCCTTCCCATCATAAATCATTTACCCATTCCAAAAAAAAAACATCAAACCAAGATGTCAAAGAAATTGAGGGTTTTTCAGGAGAATTGAAGCGTCAACGTCTGTTTGCAGGGACGGACCCCTCCACATTTGCCGCTACTAATTTGACACGATTCCGCCTCCTAGGGAAGGAGCTTAACGAGTAATTATAAATTAATCTGTCAATTTTTTTTATAAATGAATTAATTAGTGCTTTGTTTTTTTAAAAAATGTTATTTAACCTTTTTCTTTATTTCATACTCATTTCTAATTTTTGTGCTTTAAATAATAGAAAAATAAACAAATAAATATTAAGAGAAAAGAAGATGTTTTTTTTAAATAATATAATATTTAATTAATTATGATCAATGTAAAATGATTAAATGATTAAATAATTAATTTTTAAAATAAAAAATTAATTAATTTATCTATCAAAACTTAAAAAAAAAAAGAAGTAATTTATAATGTACTCGGCCTTCAACCATCAAGCCAAGCGGGGTCGGTTGGGATACCATTATTGTACCAGCAACAACAACATGAGCCGACTGATTGTAGTTTATAAACTTGTTTCAAAGCGCACCCTTTTTCTTAAATTGCTTAAGCGTACTTAATAAGTGACTTGCTCTATTAAGGAAATCTCTCCCATGCTCTTGTTCTGTCGGAAAAGTTACCAGTAATTATTTGATCTTGTATCCAGCAGGGAGGAATTTTACCATTTATGGGAATTCCGTTAGTGTCACTTTTTTCCCCTTTTTCTTTTCCTTTTCCATTCAGTAAAAGAGAGAGGAAAGAAAGATGATTTTTATAGAAGTCCCATGAATGGTAGGTGTAAACATGAAACTACCCTTTTGAATGGTTTGGTAGGTGTGTAAATCGGGATGTTCTACACCTTTCCGAGCTTCTCTCTTCTTTCAGAACTGGGTCAAGTCAACTTGGGCTTTCCCATAAACACCGCGGATGGCTCTGTATCTCGCAGGGGAGGAATTAGTCATTGACGGGAATTCTTTCACATTTTTTGTTTGGGTTTTAAATTGAGACAGAGTAGATTATTTTTTTAGTCCCTCAGTTTTTAACTCAATAGTAACTTAATCTCTTAGTTTTCAAAAACCTACAATTATGTATACTATAATTTTGGCAGGGGTGGCAAAGGCCCTTCTCTGCCACCCTTAGCCACCTTTATTGACTTCGAGTAGCAATGAGTTTAGTTAAATTTATTTTACTTTATGTAATTGAAATATGTTAATAAAAGCAATTGCTTCCCCTTTTCCATTATTAAAAAGTGAAGTAAACAACGGTGTAAACATGAAACTATCCTTATGCGAGTGGAGCTTTTCTGGTTCCAAAAAGCAAGGTTTGAATGGCATCTTAAGGAGACGGCAACACAGCAGTATCTCCAATATTTATTTGTTTATTTTTCTATTATTTAAAGCAAAAAAATTAGAAATGAGTATAAAATAAAGAAAAAGGTTAAATAACAATTTTTTAAAAAATAAAGCACTAATTAATTCATTTATAAAAAAATTGAGAGATTAATTTATAATTACTCGTTAAGCTCCTTCCATAGGAGGTGGAATCGTGTCAAATTAGTAGCAGCAAATGTGGAGGGGTCCGTCCCTGCAAACAGACGTTGAAGCCTCAATTCTCCTGAAAAACCCTCAATTTCTTTGAGATCTTGGTTTGATGTTTTTTTTTTGGAATGGGTAAATGATTTATGATGGGAAGGGAATAAAATTTGAGTGAAAAAGGAAAGGAAGGCAGGACATGTGGTACATGTGCTGAAATGGTATGCAAGATGTACAGCTCGGCAGAGGTGGCGAGGTCCCCACTCTGCCACCATGAGCCACCGTTATTGACTTGAGTAACAATGAGTTTATTTTACTTCATGTAGCTAACTACGCGAACAAAAGCAATTTCTTTCTTTTTTCCATTATTAAAAAGTGAAGTAACTATCATTTGAAGTGATTGCAGAAGTCATGAGTCATCGTGATGGGTCTGTGTCCTATTGGTCATGCAACTTCCCTTGACTTCAAAGAATATATGTCAAGGAGTAAATTATTCTTTCATAGCTCAATTTTTAAGACAATTGTAGTATAGGTTTTTTTTTTTCAAAAACCTACAATTTTGACTCTCATTTTAATTCTCTGTTTATAATTTAGTATTTTTTTTTTTACAATGTCTTGATAATTTTTTGTTATCATTGACCAAAAACTATTTTAAAATTTTAATTTTTGATATTTTGAACTGAATGTTTTTACACATGCTAATAAACTTCGATATACTTTAAAAATATATATATTTTTTGAAATTAAGAATTATTTTTTAACTTTTTAAATATTAAATACTTACAAAATTATGCAAAGTAAACAATATTTTGGAATGATCTAAAATTTTAAAGATTTTAAAAAATAATTTATATTTATCTCGCTTATTCGTAATATGTTTTTCTAAATATTTATATACGTGATTCTTAAAATTAACTTATTTAAAACTTAATTAAGTGTTACATATTCAATCATGTAAATATTTTGAGACTCATATTAAGAATAAACAAATAAATTTATAGGATTTTTTGGGACTTTAAAATTATTTTCTATTTTTTACAATTTTATAAATAGTTAATTTTTTATAAAAACTTAGAAAAATTCTTCTTGATCTAAAAAAATTTTGAAATTCGATTGGATCTTTATTAGCGGATGTAAAAAAAATTAACTATCAAACATTAAAGTTCTAAAAAGGGTTTCTGATAAACAATGATGGAGAATTAATAGTGCAGGACAAAAGGGACTTTGTTATAAAAGAGAAGTCTTGTAGAAGACATAATTATAGGTTTTTGAAAACTAAGAGAGTAAGTTACTATTGAGTTAAAAAAATAGTGACTAAAAAAATATTTTACTCTATCTGAATTTAAAACCCTAACAAAGAAGTCAAATAGAATTCCCGTCGATGACTAATTCCTTCCCTGCGAGATACAGAGCCCTCCGCGGTGTTTCTGGGAAGGCCCAAGTTGCCTTGACCCAGTTTTGAAAGAAGAGAGAAGCTCTGAAAGCTGTAAGAACATCCCGTCAATGACTAATACCTCCCCTGCGAGATACAGAGCCATCCGCGGTGTTTCTGGGAAGACCCAAGGTGACTAGACTCAGTTCTGAAAGAAGAGAGAAGCTCTTAAAGCTATAAGAACATCCCTATTTACACACCTACCGTTCAAAAGGGTATTGAACTTCTATAAGAATCATCTCCAAATCTCACCAAATAGAAAAGATAAAAAAAGAAGAAGTGAAATTAACAGAATTCCCTTAAATGGTAAAATTCCTCCCCTGTTTGATACAAGATCAAATAATTACTAGTAAAGGACTTTTCCGACAGAACAAGAGCATGGGAGAGATTTCCTTAATAAAGCAAGTCATTTATTAAGTAAACTTTAGCAATTTAAGAAAAAGGTGCGCTTTGAGACAAGTTTATAAACTATAATTAGACTAACATTGATGTCGGTAGGCTCATGTTGTTGTTGTTGCTATGACAATGGTATCCCGACCGGGACCGCTTAGCTTGATGGTTGAAGTCCGATTAAATTATAAATTACCTTTTTTAGTTTTGGTAGACGAATTAATAATTATTTTTTATTTTAAAAACTAATTCTTTAACATTTATCATGTTTAATTTAATATTATTTTCTCACAATATTTATTTATTTATTTTTCTGTTATTAAAAAAACAAATTAGACAAGAGTATAAAGTAAACAAAAATAATAATATTTAGTTTTAAAAATAAAGGACTAATTAATTCATTTATCAAATCTCGAGAGATTAATTTATAATTACTCGTTAAGCTCCTTCCAAAGGAGGCGGAAATGGTGTCAAGTTAGCAGCAGCAAATGTGGAGGGGTCCCCGTCAATTCTCCTGAAAAAGATAATACTCCTGTTCAAAAGAATTAGACCACCAAAAAGAAAAAGAGTTCTTTCAAAAAACTATAATCAAGAAAAAGAATTCCCTTACTTTTGGCCTTTTGGCTATGTTGTGTAAACATTCTTAATTCTTTCCTCCCATTTCACAGGTTTCCTTCTTGTCCCGCCACAACAATCCCTCTCCGTTTTCTTGCACATTCTTTCGACTTTAAAATGTATCCCAATTCACAAACCTAACAAAGAACTCGGACCATATATCCCCTGTTTGATACAGAGCAAAATACAAAATATCTTTCAAAGAGACAGAAAAAACATACCTGATTGCAGTGTATCCTGATAAAAAAAAAAAAAAAAAAAAAGCATTCCTTCTCTGAGCAAATTCTCCAATTCCTTATCAAATCAAGCAATTCTGGAACTTCGACATGAATGAGATTTGCTGGGGACAAAAACGCATAAAAATACAGAAGATTGGCAAATTTTAGTTTGCATCACTCTACTAATTACTTTGTTCTTCAAGTTTTTCCCTGGCCTCCCTTTGATCTTTATGCCTTTATGTCCCCAGTTCATATCATCCATCAATTCACCTGTCTTTTTATTTGAGTATATAATCATTGGAACATGTTGTCAATCATGGCTCTTTCTTTGAGTTATTTCAGGAACTCCGATGTTGCTCCTCATCATTCGGTGTCAAGCTCGAATATGGCATTACAGTTTTTTTATAGGAGAAACCGAGACCACAGGAATCCTCCTCGCACACACGCATCCGCGGAATCCTAGATGAAGTCATCGGTTGACTCAATTTTGAAAGGGCTTAGGATGACAGGTATGAGTTTTTTTGTTTACACTTGGCATCAATTCACAGGTTTATATATATATATATATATATATATATATATATATATATATATATATATATATATATATATATATTTTAAAATATTGTTTTTGTTGAAACTGCCATCAAATTTAATCTTGTATTACACGAAACTAATATTATTTAAAAAAAAAATCTATCCAAGGCAGAGTATTTCGTGTGTGTCTTCATAATGTGGTTGTAAATATTTTTTTATATGTTTCTCATTTGGAAAAAAAAACTCTTAAAATAAATGGTTTTTTTAATCTGTTTTCGATCGTTTTAACTTCTTATTTCAAAACCATAAAAAAAAAAAAATTCTAAACATTAATTTAAATATATTTTGAAAAATGTCTATATGGTAATACCAATCTATAATTTAAGAGAATTTTTCTTTATTATTCTTTCTCCTATTATAAATAAGGAATACATAATAATTTTTATAATATATTTTAGGTGTGCGATAGCAGGAACATTGGTATTCCTTGAGAAAAGTAAAAATGCAAGTAGGCCACTGCAACGAGAAAATATAAAAAGACTGAAGGATGACTTCCTCCCACGGTTCATTGGTATTTCCTCGCAAGCTGGTTGAGAAATACACGCGGAAGCCACACGGAATACAAGTGAGTCAACGGGCCCAACACCTATTGGGTCAACGGTGAACTGGGTGCTCCTAATTTATAGAGATGGTAATGGCCAAATATATAAAATGAATATCTATTTTATTCAACTCAATAAATACTTTTTAAAAATATTCAATATATATTAAAATAGATGAAAGTAAAAGATTATTCGTTAACTAATATGATTTTAGGGTATGAGTATTTATTTTTTACCCTATTAATATCACTAATTTATTTAGATTTTTTTATTAACGTATAGGGATTTAATTGCATAAAATTTAAAAATCAAGGATTAAAATATTTTAAAAAAAATAGACTAAAAAAAATTACAAATAAATAACATGTATACGTGTGTTGTTAAAATATATATATGCAGGAGGTATATGAAGTGTGCATGTGTGTAAAATGCATGGAAGCATTACGAGAAGAATAAAAAATAGAGTCAGTTGTAACTAACCCTTGCACAATAGGTGTTTGTTATGATGACTATGACACATAACCTGAAGATAGCAATAGCTATCACTAGTCGATTGATCCAAGGAGCTAGAAGAATGATTGCACCTCAGGACCTGTAGTAGCCAATCATTGGCACACAAGAAATAGCAAAGTTAGGAAGTTAATTTTTCAGCTTTTCATTGTAAAATTATAAAATGTACATTGCTGGTAGATAAAACTAATAACAGTAGAATTTAACTTATGATTTTCATATCATAAGTAAGAATGGCATTTTCTTCATTTTGTTCCATATTTTAACATGGTATCAAAAGCATCTATTTCTCTGCTAAAATTCTGAAAATTGTTTTCTCTATAATCATGAACACATAAGAAAACTTAAGAAACAATACAACCACCATTGATTTCATAAACCTTCTTCATATTTGTGCCTCCGATTCACCGAATCCGGTGTTGGTTCCAAAAGAACTAGATCTTAAAGGCATGAAGAACTACGGTGTATTGTCTAGAGCTATGAAGATCTCTCTTGAAGCAAAGAACAAACGTGGTTTTTTTATAGAACCCGTGAAAAACTAGATCTAACTTCACCCATGCATCCACATTGGGTAAGATGTAATGCTATAATGTTTGTTTTGTTGTTAAATATAGTATCACATAAGATCTACGATGTTATAGTCTACTACAAATCTACGAGAGATGGTATGAAAAGATCTCAAAGAGAGATTTGACAAAATCAATGGTCCTCAAATGTTTGTTATCATAGAGAAATCTCACACATAATGCAAGGTACTCTCTTTGTGTAAACATATTACTCAAAACTCAAAAAATTGAAGATTTTTTGAAGAACATTTGAAGAACAACCAACGGACCTATTTATAAAAGGTCTTGGTAACGGACAACATAAACATTTATTGCATAAGTTTAGGATTAGAATCATATACACTAACCCCAAACTATCCCAAACTTGAGGAGGAGTGTTAAAATATGCATATGCAAGATGTATGTGAAGTATGCATGTGTAGAATACATGCTGAAATGCATGGAAGCATTATGTGAAGAATAAAAAACAAAGTCAGTTATAACTAACCTTGCATAGAAGGTGTTTTTACGAGTGATTATGACACGTAAACTTGAAGATAGTAATAACTACCACTTAGGGATCGATCCAAGGAGCCGGGAGAATGATTGCACCTCGAGACCTACTATGAAGCCCCCACCCCGATCCACTCTCTATTACCCAAATAGGAGTGGCCGGGCGAGGAAAGCGTCACACTCGACACGATCAATTTTTGAATTAACCTTAAACACGTATGTGGTCATACATGAAGGATTTATCATGCAATAAAACACGTACAAGATAATTTATATAATATTAATAAATACATCGAAAGAAATTATAAAATTTATTTACAATATCATCAAAATGTTTATCGACACTCCAACCCTAAAAATTATAATCAAAAATTTTTTTGATAACTTGTGTCACACGTGAGCCTTTTTGGAGGGTCCGGTAGAATCCTTATCGATATTAGCGTCGCTTTTACCCGTCATGACATGTAAGAACAAACATGGTGAGCTGAAGCTCATTAAGTAGGGTGATGCATGTGTTATGTAATGTTTTTTCGTCCGTCCCCATTATTCTCATCAATTTGAAATGTTAAGGGTACCCTAAATATTAGTAAGTCTCGCTCTATTCTTAGTGATTGTCGAATAACCTCAGCAATCATTTACTCGTCTCATAACCTCAATAATCATTTACTATTGAATAACCTCGGTAATTAGTTATCGTCGAATAACCTCAGCAATCATTTATCGTCGAATAACCTCAAGCAATCGGTTCAATCCATCTCCGAATGCATATGATGTACGTGAGGTTACATTTACCCTATTAAACACCCTATAGGTGCCGGACCCTAGACTATCAAATCATTTTCAAGATCCAACCCACATGGATTTTTTGATATATTCCCATATCACTTCTATAATATTTCCCCCAAGGAAAATCAATTACCGTTGACTCATATTAGTCAAGTCATAAACTTTTTGTTGCACGTAGGCACTTTCCTCCCTTTAAATTTAGTAAATCTCATTTTACAATTCATCCTTTACTTGACAAATGTAAATAGTAGCATTTTAAACCAGTTAAAACATACTAATGCGACATTTTCTCTTCGAACACAAATTGAGGCATTTTAGGGTCGAATTAGGCTTTTAAATGTTCTAGGTCAAATTTTTTATTTAACTAGCAATTTTTTTCTATCTAAATATCCTCTTATACTTATTAGGGTGTACTCAAACCATTAATTATGGAATTGAAGGATTGGATCCAAATCCCCATAGTTTAGGGTTTAAGCCGAATAGGTCCTAGGTCCTTAAAGTGGCCAAATATTACTTTTTCATCCCAACTTACTAATGTATACCTAATTAAATTATACTTAAGTTTTATGCCCTTAATTACATAAAATGGGTCTAATCTTACTCGTTTTCTTACTTAGGCCGAAAAGGTTCTTGAGTGAAACCCTAGGAATTCATTTTCTCCTTCTTTTCAATTTGTGGTTTATTATAGGACGACCTCTAATCAAGTAGGTAACGTACCAACTTTTGAGCATAGTTAAATCCTATACCTTTTTTATTAGAAACTAGACATATTGATTCATAACATATCCAAAAATTAGATTTAAATACCAAACACATAATTCATAATATAATTTTGAAGTTTAAGATTCAATATATCCAGCAATAGTTCACCCAAGACAATCTGTATTAAAACGGGCATAACGTTTTTTATATAAACCTAATAATAAAAATATTTTACATGGAGTTATTCAAGAAACATAAAACAACTTTTATTTTTTAAGATTTACCCGTAAACCAACCCAAGGTCCTCGAACGAGCAATACCAAAGTCGGATAGGAACTACTCCTCAATAACACGGACTTTGCCATTCATTTCAACCCACATTAATCATGTTTTAGTCCAATTAAATTTCAGTTCAAGACCGATTCAACTCATCATCACATACTTAGACATTTATTAGGTATTATAAACATCACAATTCATCACCTATACAACATCCACAAGTAGAGCAAGCCAAGACATCAAATAGCCACCAACACAAACTAAGCTCAACAATATATCAAACAACTCAACCAATACGTAACTCAAACACATAAAAATGGATATGTAAAAGCATAAATAAACCTACTTACTTAGCTTAGGTATGGTTAGAATTACCTTGGCTTTGCCTTTTTTTTTTTTTTCTTTCCTTTTCTTTTCCTTTCCCCTTTTGCCGTTTCACTCTTTCTCACTTTTATTTTCTATCTTGTTTGTGAGCTACGGTTTTGGACTAACAAAATGGAAGCCATGAATTTCATTTCTATTTATATATTCTTCATTTTCTTATAGCTAAATAGGTATACAAATGGCTTAATTTAATTTGGGTAAGTGGAAAGTTATTGGTGAGTCATGAGGGAGAGGGTAGCAGATTTGAGAGGTTTAGGGTGCGTTGGACTTAATTCATTAATTAGGGGGTTTAGGTGTGCTAATTAATTGGTTTAAAGTAAATTAAGTAACTAAACACGTTTCTTTCCATCAAATTTCAGAAATCTCTCTCCCCGAACTCGGAATTTTCTTCCTCCAAAAATGTTTCAGCAGTGATGCTTCAAGACTAGCCGATACTAAAATGGTCATAACTCTCTATATATATAGGTATAAAAATTATGACATTTTACAAAGAACTAGTAGACACATAGAAGAACAACTTTTATCCTTTAAGTTTTACCCATAAATCACTCTAAAGTTTTCAAATAAATTACACAAAATTTGAATAGAATATAATCCTCAAGACACTCGATTTTTTATTTTATTTTATTTTTACGGGGGTTACACCTACGGTAGCCAATAATTGGCACACAAAAAATAAAAAAGTTAGGAAGTTAGTTTTTTAGTTTTTTCATTATAAAACTCTAAAATGTACATTGCTAGTATATAAAGCCAATGACAGTAGAATGTAACTTATGGTTTTCGGATCATCAATGAGAAGAACATTTCTTCATTTCGTTCCATATTTTAACATATGTTAAACCTCACGTTTTTTATAAGTTTTAAAAATTTATCTTCTTTTTTCAAGTTTATAAGAATTTATTTTGATTTGGTATGGTTACCTAAGGTATGAGATTTTTATTTAATTATTAAACAATGTGATTTAACAATGACATTATTCCACAATTTTTACTATAACACTAATTTATAAGTTACACAAATTTTACTATAAGAAAAAAAATTAGGAATAAATAATTAATTTATTTCTCAAAACTAGAGAGACTAATAATTTACTCCATTAATCTCCATGCTTTAAAGCTATATCAAAATTTCATTGGTGACTTTAATAGTAAATATTCATAAAAAAAATAAATAATAAAAAAAATTAGATCACATTAAGGCAGGGGAAAGGAACGGAATATTGGAGGTCTTGACAAGCCCATTAGCAAAAACACACTAAAGAATAATGCATCAACATAGTTAGATAAAATACAAAAATATAGTAGTAATTTAATAATCATAAGTTAGTGTATTTAATTAATTAGTTTTGGTTGCGAGCATGGGCGTGAAGACTTGCATTGGCAAGAAAGCGCCGAAGTGGGTATCTGCTTGGTAATCCAATTTGTCAATTAGAAAATGAAAGGGCTTTAAATAGAAAACAGAGTATGTAAAAGAAAGGGTTGGTGGCATGTGCAAAAAGACATCTTTGATTAGTTGGTTAGAAAGCAGTCTCTCTCTTCTCTGTCTATCTGAAAATTGTCTCGCTTAACTTTTTGTTTCTTCAACGTCAGTTCAAGGGAAGATTTATCATTACAGATACTTAAAATCTACAAAACTTCTGTATTCTTGACCGGTTACTTTTGCTGATTAGGTCGAGTTTTTATTTGAGCTATTTCTCCTATGGATTACGGCAATCGAAAATGAGTTACAAATCGAGACATATGTCCTCTTTAAAAAGGATAAAAATGAATAATTAATACTTGAGTTTTACTTGTCGCTAAGTTCAAAATATGGAACAAGATGTAATTGGATTTTAAGCTTTTTTTTTTTATCTTGGGTTTGGAACCAAGTAAAAGGAAAAAGAAAGTGCAAGGATTGAATGTATAAAGAAAGTTGATGCAATTACATTTTTATCCTTCACTTTGTGGTGAAGAATATATATATATATATATATATATATATATATATATGCAAGGTTAAAATGAATAATTACATATACTTTCTCCCACTTTTTCTCCAAAACGGAGAGATTGATTTTTAGTGGGCTTTTTGGAAAATTTCCTTCCTCTTTCCTCTCCTCTCATTTTCCTTTCCTTTTTCCTAAACAGTGGAAAGTAATTTCCTTCCTATTTTCATTTCTCTCAAATTCCTTCCAATTTTCAGCCTTCCAAACACAATGTTAGGAGTGGGACTAATTAAACCAATCTCTAAACGCTAATGGAGCATGTTGCGGGTCGGGCTTCTTGATTTGGGCCATTTTCAGTCGGCTCAGTTTCTGTTTTAGGTGGGCTCACTTAGGTAGATCTGATGGTTTG